AGGTACTATTATGCAAAAAAGATTTAGCTAAAAAATCACTTGAAATTCATTTAGAAAGTTCATAACAAAAGTCAACAACGCTTTTAGCTAAAAGAAATGGTATAAACTTACTTGTGTTCTTTAGTTTCATGACGCCTTCGTACAATTATATTTCTTAATACCTGAAAAGGTTTCATAATTCGAAATTAGCATTAATGTAGGATTTATAAAGAAGTCCTTTGTATGATACGATTAGCTACAAACTTTTTTTTGTAAAATCAACGGTAATTTGATACAAAATCGCTACTTTCAGATCTGATTGGTAACACAAAATATTATAAGGAAACTAATTCTACTTATTTTTAATGAATACAAAGAAAAAATCAAAAGAAGCAGACATTTGTGACTTTAACAATGTACCTTACAAGTAAACAAATATAAATTGTGAGCTACTACACTTAAATCGACATAATAAAGATAAATTGTTCGTGCTGGTGCAAAATCATTCGTTTTGGCCACATGCTGAAAAAATAAAGTAATTGTGTCAATCTAACAAAAAATAGATGTAAAGAACCTGAATATACCAAATGGTAAAAATGGCCAGTATTACTCAGAAAAGGTAAGTGTAAAATAGCAACAAAAAAAGCTTATTTTAACACAAAAAATCATCTCGATTTTTTAAACTTATATGTCGAGATTAACGAGCAAAATGTTATGCCAAATAACTAGAGTCTAATACTGCAAATAACAAGCACATATGTATAAATTCCATGTGCTTATATACATGTGCCTATCGTTTTGCTCAGTATTTTTCTTTGCAATCCGAACGCCTTTATAACCTAATATTATGCTCACATTAGCAATCATTTGATGAGAATAACTATAATAATTTCTACTCGTCGTAATTAAATTATGTAATTTAAATATATTGTAATGTAATATCTTAGACTACATTACAGCCTCCATTATATGGTGAGAAAAAATTAAAAGTAACGAATACTTGAATTCACAGAAAACTAAGAAATCCCTTAGCTGGTTTGGTTGCAGATCACTGGAAATTTATGAAACATTTTTTAATTGAAAAAATCCGTGTAGAGTACATACCTTCATTAAAACAAATTCCTTCTCCAATAACTGATAACAAAGCTTACGCGCCTCCGTCGATGATAACATCGCTAGTTTTTCAACCTGCAATAACTGAAGCTTAATAATTGCATTTTGTTGATGGACTAATCAGCAGATGAATGAGGACTCATAACCGGTTATATTTTCCGAATAATTTCGCGGAAGATGAATTGCGAGTACAGCAAAAGTGCTATTGGCGATAATTTCTCTGTACAACTCCAAGCACTCATGCATATGGTAAGCATCATTTTTTTGCAATCGAAAAGTTGAACTCGACCATACTCATCTTGGAATGGCAACATCATTAGAGGAAACAATGCATTTATTACTGAACAATGCTGATAAGTCCATGCGAAATCAACAATTTTAAGTCAGTTGAATTCCTTTGCCTTCCTTCTTCATAATTATGCAGTCTGCAGCTATAACATTTGTTCATTTGAAATTTGCCTTATTTGGCAAAATATATGGCAATATCTCCCGATATGAAAAAAAAGCTTTTAGCTAATATTTGCCTCAATTTCACTAATTTCCAGTAAAACTGTCATGATCAGTTATGAAACTCACATGATCTTCTTCTAGAAAACCTTTTTGCATAAGAAGTCGAAAAACGCGAACAGCTCGCATGTCCAATCTTTCTCGAATGGCTGATTCAACATGACGTTGGCACTGCGTAGCTATTGCTTTTTCAAAATCTATAACAGATATTACAGCAACCAATTTAAAAACGAATTTATAAAAAAAAAGGAATATCAGTGAGGATGACTAGTCGCAGAAGAATAAATTCCTGGGTTAAAATCAATGGCAAGCTGCACATAACTAAGAAATTTACGGTCTTAGATACCTAATGAAGATAACTATCGTTGACTTACCAACAACAAAAAGACCACCCGCGCTGTCCCCAACTTTTCGTACAATTCCACCGCTTTCACATAGCAAACGTAATGCAATTTCAATGTCATGCTTTCCTAAGCTCATTTCATTCATGTTTGCAGCTCGCAGAACATCATGAATCTGAAAAGTCTTATTTTTCTGAATTTTTTTATTTTAAATTTTGCTGTGCTGCAGAACTGTCAATAAATAAAGCTAAATCAAATAAAATTATATCTTAGAAACTAAAACATGCCACAAAAGTAACGTTGGGGGGAAGATGGATACAAAGCCAATAAGATTCAAAGAGAAAGATTAAGATAAGTGATCAGTACTGCCAGTCTACATCATCATGGACCACGCTGTAGTGAATAACCACACAACATCCATAAAATAAATAAAAATCTTGCACAATACCATATGTTTATGTAACCAGAACTACTTTTATCCTTCATTTTTCCAGAAACTTTTGTATCATTTAAAACTTACAGATATAGGGAAAGAAGATGCAGCTAACGAATCTGCCTTCATTTCACTAATTTTCAGCAAAACTTTCAAAGTTTTGACGCAATTTTCGTGAACAGCATCACCAGATTCATACGCACTAACAACCATTTCATCACGTAAATATCGCTCAAAACGCAAATAATTCAAATGCCAGTAAATATTACCATCCGGATCTTCCTTTTCGCTGCTCAGATTTTTCCGCTTCCGAGATTTACTATCAACTGCAAATTGATTTATACGAGTTCTATTTTGCATTTTTGATAATAGGTTCCCGCCAAATGTTCTAATCCAAGAGAAAAATTTTCAGAATCCTGAAAACTATACTACTTGCTTGTTAAAGCTTGTGAAAAAAGTTGGTAGAGAAAGAATAAAGGAAATTACTTCTGCAACCGCTATGACTCAATGTGTTTTCAAATTAGAATATTCCTAAAGTAATTTGGGCTTCTAGTACGTCTAGCACAATTATTCAACGAGTTACCTAAAAAAACTAACCATTGATTTCTTGCTTCCTTGCATCCAGAACCACATCCGGCATGATAAATGGATCCGGATGCTTCTCAAAAATAGGACATCCACAAAAGTTACTCTCAACACTAGGATATCGCATAACAAATTGTGTTTCAGCAAGCCGAGCAAAGACTGTTTTTACCTATAAATAATTAAAAATTAAATAGAAAATTGGAAAAATATTAAATACATCCACGGAACAGTAAACAAATATACTGGCCAAGAAAATAACTCCTGAAATCACCTTTTTCGCAGAAACTCATATATGTCAATAACGTTTATCACCAAATGACCTATTGCACCGCGTGACTTGAAGGATCAAGAAATTCAAATTAAACTCATCATGAATAATTAAGTATTCCTTTTTTTCCTGTTCAAGAGTCATGAAATTCTAACAGGTCACGATTATTACGTTAAGGAAAAAAATTCACCTTATCTTATAATTTCTGAACTCTTCAATTTCTACGCAGCGCTTCATAAGGTATGTCTACAAAATATAAGGTCACAAATGTACGGCACGTCCTATTATTATTAAAGTGCATCTTCGCTTTATAAAATACCTTATGCCAATAAATTGGAATATCAGATATACATAGGCTCATTTAACCGTTTATCTTAACGCCTCTAACAGTTTTTGTTACGAATTCGAAATCGAAAAATCAAAATTATACTTCATTATTGGACACTTCCAACCTAGCAGCAACACGTCTAATACATGATGAACATGTCAGCCGTCCTTGACTGATAATTTCTTCGCATATTGCTTCTGCTATTTCACCATATAACGTTTTGGCAACAAATGAGCACCTAGCTGATCGTATTAGACGTAGAATGTCAATGACTTGTGCAGAATAAATTATGCGATGACGTTCATCCTGAGAAAATCGTAAAATTCCATGCTGTTCCAAAATTATCATTGCTCGCCTTATCTGTAATCAATATATGCTCTTGAATTATATATATTTACTCAGAAACTTTTGATTTTCTTTAAAGAAGTTATTGAGATTATTTGTGTAACAGTTTTCCACTTCTTGATAAGTCTACTTTAATCCTAAAAGCTTCCACAATAAACTTTTAATTTATTCAAATAAAGTATAATTTGCAGCATACGATTTATTTATAAATGAACACATGAATTACATCCATAACTAGTCTTTCTTTTTTACCCTTTGACTAAATAACCATCGACATCTTTTATAAGCATAAAACCCAATGTTTAGATCACTCTCAAATATACAGTGGTACGAAGTTAATAAAGTCTAGTACTTTTCAATAAATTTGTCTTATTAAAATGATTTCATAGCTCTCTCGTATCACATTAAAAAATTTAATTGTGAGCATAGAACAATTAAATTTCAAACAATTAAATTTTCAATTAAAAACAAAAACAATTAAATTTTCAAAAAACAGAACAATTAAATTATGACCTGAAAGATATGGTACTGGTCCAAAAAAAGACCACAAATTAGTATCACAATTTCGCAATAACTAACCTCGGAAATCTTGAATTGGTTGCCTAATCTCTGGAATATAGCCGGTAATGGTACTGCTTCGCTCAGCAGAACACTCCCAACAGCAGCTGCTATTGGACCAAAATGATCTTCCAAAATTTCGACACATGCATCAACCTCTGTGGAGCTCATCTTGTCAAGGCCTGGTATGAAACAGATAAGTTTTTTAAAATTTTCTAATTGAGAGTCACAGATATAATTCATGAAATAACTAAGCCAATATACCATTCACGTGAATACATACGTGTCAAACTCTATTGGCATGTCATTAGGCACAGTGACCGTTCATAACAAGAAAATGAACGAAAGAGTTTTATATGCAATTTTATTGCAAGAAAAATCCTGACTTCCAATACCCGAATAATACATCAGAATAGCTACAGCATATAATTTACAACATGAGTCGGATTTTTAAAACGTCCAAACAGTTCAAACGCTACCAAAAAACGTGATATATATTATCATAATGTGTAAACATTTCACTGACAGTAGATTTTTGACAATTCACCATAACAATTTTACATTAAATGGTTCCTTCTGATGATGTTTTGCATACTCTGTGCATCGCACTTCCCAGCGGCCATCTACCCGAATAAAGTAGCAATGTAAACATCTAAGTTTCAGCTGCCGCCGGACCTAAAATATATTATAAGTGTTATTAACTTGAGCTCATTTATATAAGCTTTAAGTTTATTACTATAACAGATCTTAAGGTTTGTGTAACCAAACAAATGACGCGCAGAATATGATCGAGATTCAAATCAAAAAATCGAATACTATTTCTTCATCTAATTAAATAATTTGTTGATCCAAAAATATATTGCAAATATTACGACACAAATCTCAAAATTTTACGTTCTCTGCGAAGACAAAATCTATCGATTTTAAATTTAAAACTTAGAAAAAGAAACCTTGAAATTTGCTCGGCTTTCAAACATGCTACTTTCTGGGGTCAGTAAACCGCGCAATATTGTTTGGCAGCTTCGACATACTGCACCAAGGGTACGACCAACTGATAACATTGTTGAAGTCTCCAAAAAAAAAACTAAATTTCGATGGGCATGACTGTACACCGCGCATCCATAATAAAGAATAACTTGCATAAAACAGTGAGCGCTGAACCTCGCTCAGATAAAAACTAAAAATCGCTCAGTTTATTCAAAATCTTTTAATGAATCACATAGTACTTCCTTTTCTTAATTCTTTATAAAAAAGGGATAAGAAATAATTCGCTCAGTGAAGAGTTGATTATCTATGCATTCTTTCAAAAATGCCTTATTAAATCAAAAATTAATCACCGTACTAGTTCCTAACATTACTTTATATTAAAAAACTGAAAAATTTCACACCCTATTAAAAATTTTCGTTATTCATTCCATGCATTTTCTTTTCTATAAGTCAAAATCAAAAAATGATATCAAAAACCCAATAAAATTGACGATTAAGATGTTACGAAAAACTAAAAAACAATTATGTTCAAATAAAAAAAGAAAAAAATTCGAAACAAGACAAAATTAGGGATAGAAATTTAAGTTAAATCAAAAATGAAAATTGAGATGGAAAATCAGGAACATTAAAACCAAGGATTTGAATCAAAAATTAAAAACTGGAAATGAAGAAGAAACAGGCCAAAAAGTGATGTAGAGAAACAAAATTCCAACAATGGAGGAGAAAGAAAAGAAGTTGAGAGATAATGGAAGACAGTTGAAGAAGATTCCATCAATCTCGAAGCGAAAGTCTGCCATTTACACGCATTAGGAAATTGAAGTGTACATGATATTGAAACGAAAACTTTTACGCCCACGCAGTAGTGTTGCGCCACGTTCGGTCAGGGGTACGGTAATCGGCGTGTGTGTGTCGCATGAGGATGGTCTGCGAGTGCTACGTGACTTTCGTCTCCTTCTACCAATCAGGCAAACGTCAATTAAATTATTTCAAAAGTATCCGCGACGTGAAGTCACTTGCGATAGCCAACATCAATAAGGTGATCATACCGATCCGAAGCTTCTGGTAAGTTCAATAAATTCCGAAAGGTTTTTTCTTTTTCCGGCGTTTAATTTTTGTTTAACAACATAGATATTAGTCTTGTAGTGAGAATGGTGGTGTAAGGCGAGATTAGGCTATGCGATTAAAACATGTACTACTCCCCTTTCATGGAAATGTTAACGTACATGTTCACGACTTCCAGGTCTCTATGTTAATTTGACTGTAATATTTATGTGGATGATAAGGTGATTCTTGTTGGATAATTGCATGTACTATGGAGTGAGCCTCGGACTTACATGTTTGTGGAAATAGGAGGAAGCGCTGTGTTAACATTTTAGGTAACGTGTGTAAGAAAAGAGAGATGAAGTATATGCGGTGTATAGTTGTATGACTTGTATGGGATGCAGTGATAGAGAGATGAATTAGTAGATTTATTAACAATAAATGATGGAAATTAATTGCAAACACAATAGGGTGTTGAGTAGAAAAAGGTAATGAAAGTCAGTGAAGGATAGAGACAAATCCTGTAACATCTGATCAGGTAAATTGCCGAGCTTTTAATGACTCTCAAAATCTTGTATCCTCCTGATTGGTTGAAAGATGCCGCAGTTATAATCCGGCTGAATCAGTATTTAGGGGAAGAGATGATGGATTTTGTAGTGTATTTCGTGAAAAGAAAAGGTAAAACTAGAACATTTTGAAGAAAAACAGCGAGAACTTTGGTTTCTATTTGCGCATTGTTTATATGTTATATGTGTGGTGTCGAATTAGGTCGTGAAAATGTTGAGGAATCAGGAGTAAATTACTCTAATTTGAGGAGATTTTATTCTTAAGTTAAAGTTATAAGTCAGAGATTTCCATTCCTTACAAGGAGAAGCATTGCGATCTGCTCATTTATTGATTATTTCTTTTATGATTGAATCTGATGCCTAAATTACATTTCGATTACAAAAAACCATTAGGGAGATTAGTTACTAATAGTTCTTTTATGAAACAATACTTTTATGAAACAATATTACGCCAAAGTGATTTTCACTCGTGATTGTTCAAGATGAAAGGATTGATTCTATTATTTATTATTTTTCCAGTTTAAATGATATAACTAGATAGAATTTTGTCTTCTATTTTTCACTGTCAAAAATTGCACATTTTAAATGTGGAGGTAGATATTTTTGCAAATATTTTACTGCTATCATCATTAGTGTATCTGTAGTATCCAAAAAGTAGTATGAAAAGATAAGTAGCATAGATCAGATCTGTAATGTTTGCTTACGCCTGATTTTTTCGATCAATTTAAGTTGCGTATTAAATCTTGCTTTACAAATGAATCATTCCAGAAATTTTGTTTTAAATACTGGTGAGTGTGGATGTATATATATGCATATGGATGTATATATGCGGTCCGCTATAGCTTTTTATTTTTTAGAATTGGATGTTACAGGTGATATAATATACGGATCACCTGTGTTAATTGTTGCTATTGTCGCCAATAAATTTATCAATAGCCAGTTATTCGGAGTGCGAAATTGGACCTTAGCCAACTTCTCTGATGTATTTTTGTTGCTGATTCATAATTTTCTTTCTGGAACTCGCAGCAATCTAACATAACGACAGTTTGGATTTTTATACACATCATCAAGCGGTCTATTGTACGGATCGATAGACGATTATATGGTAAAGCAATTTTTTTGCGAACTAAAAATATATTTCAGAATTAATTTCTTTCCTTGTTTGCATATCGTCTATCATTCTTCGGAATTTCCTAAAAGATAACGATTGAAAACCTTGAGACATGATCTAAAAAAAGCAAGCAAGGGTGGGCATGTGTCGGATATGAAGAAAGGAGGAAGTGCATTAGGCATTTTTATCGTGTAAATCCATGTGAGATTATCGATGGTTCTGTCATATCATACGTACTCTGGCTGGCCAAGGTTGCAAGATTCTTCATATCATTATCATTAAATAAACCGTAGGAAATGTGGGATATTTTAAGTGATATGATCGTAGTGTGAAATTTTGCAAACTCTGTTGTGCAGGTGTTTCTTTCCTCTGTATTCGGGACTTCGACACTCTGTTTCTAGCGACAAGTCCTTATGTCGCAAAAATTGGCAAATATCTTACATAACGCTTGCCAGATAGCAAAAGCATAATTGAGGGATGGAATAACTGAAATTTGGCAAGAATGACCTGTTGAAGTTATGTGTGTATGTGTTTAGTAAAAACATCTGTGCATTAATCTGTTTTTGATAATATCATTTGTAAAAAATTTACAGATGGGTGACGATCTGTTACAATTTTTTGCCAAAAAGTCTGCTAAAGTAAAGGACAAGAAGAAAAAAGTGAAACTAAGTGTCGATGAAGTTGGTCAGGTACTGGAAAGAAAAGCAAAACGGCAGGTTAGTTATTAGATTATCGCTTTTGTTGCGTCGTACATGGATGCATTATGATATTAGGCATAGGTTATGAAAGTTTCAAGAATTTTTATTATATTTTAAAAGATATTGAAGATAAGAACGGTAAAACGATTTCTTTATGGTGCAAGAAATTTATTTCCTGAGAACAATCAGAAGCAAACGCGGGAAATAAAGGGAACATTAATAATATTTTTTATTATCAGTCATTCGTTAACTGTACACACTGTAATCGTGTTGTTAGGAAGAACGCGATCGTGAAGATGAGGAAGAACGACGTGCCCAAGATGATGCTGCTTTTTTTGATAAACGACCTGAAGATTCTGAATGGCTTGAATATAAAGATACAAACAAGTTCATTCCTTTCTATTTTATTTGGATCGTTTTTGTCTCGGAAATTGTGAGAGTATTTGAATTTACTCTTTATACATACAATGTGAGCAGAAAGTTTCTTTCACGGACGGTTATTCATGTTGTCCTTTACCGACTATTTATAGAGAGATTGCTCTTGAAGAACTCGGAATTCGTGATATGAATTTAACTGAGCAGGCTGAAGAAGCTCTGGAAGACGAAAAAACCGCTACAAATGAAGCCCCGAAAACGTGGAGCACTGCAGAGGTTTATCAGTTTTGTTTTTTTTTAATTTGATTAAAACTTAGCACTCATAGTTAGCAAGGAACTCTTCCATTTTGCTTTTAGTCTCGCTCCATATATATAAATTTTTTTATACACATCGAAGGATCTATTGTATATATGTATATATATGCACAATAGACTGCTTCATATATATATATATATATATATATATATATAAGCGAGTGACTTAACATGTTCCATGTTCGATAACGATCGGAAAAGAATGACTTTGTGATTCAAATTATAGGTTGGACAATGACGCCAATTCTATTTACTATGGCGGTTTTTTTGGACTCTTTGATCTGTTTATTGAGCACGAAGAAGTATTGTGAACATGCCGTAATAAGATAGTGTCAGATTACAAAAATTAAATTTTCTTTCAGAAAAAGGAATCTGAAGAAACTATTCTACCAGTGCCTAAAAAGCAAACGACAGGTGTTTGGAAACCTCGTTGTTTGATGCAAAATATTGCCAGAACGGGCACAGTGCCAAATATTAATGATCAAGATTTATTCCCAACTTTTGAAGCTGCGGAAAAAATTGAAAAATTAAAGAAGGATGATGAAAAGAAAAGGTTACTTTATATTAAGATTTTTTATATTTTTTGTTGGCAATATTAAATTTTGGACTAGTGGATCTTATGGGGAATGTCTTTGTTTTGGACTCATTTTCATAGTGTTAGAATTGAATTTTGTTTTGGCTAGTTTCAGACGAAATGATGGTTTTACAATAGTGGCATCTGATAGGGATTCATCAGGTGCTTGGACGAGTAGGGGAACTTCCAATAATAACTGGCAACGTGCTGGTAGTGGTAGTAGTGTATCATCATCGAATGCTGATCGTACTGCTCTGCTTTCAGCGGTTAGACAAGTGAGTGATTTATTGTTTTTAATTCCTTCCTGTGAAATATGGAGCATGTCATGTTTGATTAAATTGTTACAAAACAGCCAGAATTTTCAGGTAACGTCGAGTGGAGCACCAAATCCGGTACCTCCGTCACAACCACTTCAAACAAAGAATCCAAATGCTTACGTTCCTCCATCACGACGGCGTGCTCAAGCGAATGTTACCAAAGAAATGTCATGAAAACAAACATTATTAGTAGTGGAAAATTTTGTTGATCATAAACTTTTATTGTTTCTAAGTGTAGTAACAAGGGATTCTTTTTTTTTGGAGTTATCTATTACAGAGGATTGCTGAATTGATGGATATTTTTTATAGTCGGCTTTTTCTGAACTATTTATAGTGATTTTTATGAATTCATATATATTTATTGGTATTTGCGCAATTCTTTCCTATTCAAAACACCGTCATCAATTGTGCTCTTTTTTGTGTTACGAGGTATTTGTGCATTGTTTTCTCGTGTGCTTTTATGACAAGCTTCTCTGCTTATTGTGAACAGCTAGCATTAGTTTTTAATACGTCTTGTTTTTCTACCGAGTTCAAACCATAGCTTTGGCTATATAAGGTTTATATTTATTTTATTTTAAATGGTCGGATTTTTGAAAAACTTCTCTGATAATCTTCCTGTTTTTCTAATTTTTTTCCTTAATTCCAAGTTTCTCGAGAAGTTCCCTTAATTTTTTTAATAGACATTATGATTCATTACTAGTAAAATATCCAGTTGCCTGATTGTTCAACGCAGGGAATGTGTTGATAATGGTTGTTGGTGGTACAGTCGCATGTTAAACGTTGCAAATATCAGCTACGGAGAAATGTATCATCAGACGTCGCTCGTACTATGTACTTGACTTCATTATTGTTTTGTAATGTATGAAGTGTTACAGGATATTCTGTATAATTTAAGTGAGATTTTAAGGAAGTTGAAGTAGTACTTCTAATTTCTTCATAGTAAATCTCAATGTTATGGGCAGCTTTTTTACTAGTTTATTCTTTGTTACAAAACTTAACCGAGATTTTTTCCTTTGCAGTTTTATTATGTGTGAGATTTTTCTTTGGAAAGAGCGAAATGAGGCTTTGTTATATCGTTGTAGTTTTGCTGGTTTTATTTTTTACCTTTTCGCAAGGGATCGTTTTATCTTAACTGAAATAGAATTTGCATGTACGTTAATCACATGTACGTAGTGTGCGTAAAGCAACAAATCTTATTGTTGTTTCCTGTATTTTGTTGTACTGATTGGTTTGATTGTTGACTGGGTTTTTTCTGCAAATGGTATTTCTACTGTGTTAGCATTCACTGAATTCCGGTGGATTTATCGAAGTCGAGGATCATAATGGTTTTTCTTGCACACATTAAAAGTCACAGCAATGATGATATGGCAGCTTCAGTAAAATGATTGAAGCTTAGGATGAAGTTTAGGAATGTTTGGATAAATTCTTAGAATATTTTTGAGGAAGTGTCGTATACGGAAACGGATAAGGACGAAATGTTTCGTTAAGCGGTGCAAGGTGTTTTTTGTCGCATCCAGAATGTTAATGTGGTGGTTAATGTGGTTTGAGATAGCATATTATGAAGTTAGAATTTATGTAATGTCTAGGTAACTTGGATTTCTTTTCTAATTTAGCTACGCTAAGAAATCTTGGGGACATAAAAGGTTTATGTTGGTGCAAAATACAGCTGTGCAGGCAATCTGGACAGCTCTTCCATTTTCTATGAAAGTTACCGTTGATTTGTGCAGAGTGACGCGGCAGAAGGATGACGTACGTATAATCATTACTTGTGGAAATGCTTGGACGCATGTCTATTATTCCTCGAGAATTCTTCGGCGCACATTTTTCATCCGTTAGCATCGCCTCAACCCGGCCTTGTTCACGTATAGCTGCGCCATTGACGTGAGTTCCGTTTATCTTATAAATCTCGTCAACTGTAAATGACGCTGCCGTGATTTTTTGCAGCAGCGCAGTGCCGTGGAAAAAATGTTCGGGTTTTTGAATGAAGACATTAAAAATGGCAAACACTTGCTTCTATGGTAGATTTCGAAACGACACGAAAACTATACCATTGTATCTATGCTTGCCTTTTAGCTATGCGCAGAATGCACATTGCATGTGCAAGTATGGTAAATAAATGACCATTTCTAAGCATGTTGTTTCATCGTCACTGTTCTGTAACCCTAAATTTCTTAAGTATTTGAATTTCAGGCCATCTTTTAAGCAAGATTCGACCATTGAATTGGATCGATTATTTCCGCGTATTGAGTTGGAATACAGAGGCCATGACAAGGCAGTTTTGAAATCTTACACTACATTTCTGAAGGTAAAATTATTTAAGATGAACTATTTCAACTAGATTGTTCAAGTGTACAAGTAACTGCTCAATAAAGATCACAAATTTTTGATAAATGATAAAAGTTTGTTATAATGAAGAGAGAATTTTATAAAAACGCCTTTTCAGGCCGTTTGCAACCACCTGGAACTTGAGGTAGTTTCCATAAAAGTGTTTCCATATGTGTGGTGGATTCAAAATGCTCTGAAAGCTAAATTTGCAAAAAAGAAGAATCAAATTCATTATGAGACAAGAACACACATCCGTCAATTTACAATCCGACATGTTACGGGTAGTACAGCGAGTACATTTTTGGAATATATTCAACGAAATATACCAGAAGGAGTTGCAATGAAAGTTACTTATGATGAGGTCGCAGCGTTGCCGGAAATTATTCGAAGTAAGATGAAATTAATGCAGTTAAATGATGCAAATGCTTCAACAGCAACTCCAACTATGACCAAGGAGGAGAAAATTATCATTGAAACGTTACTTAAAGAGGGAAACAAGCATTCTACCGATAAAGCATCAACTTCTAATGAGACGAACTTATCACCAAACAGTGTTTAAAATCCTCTCCCAAAATCAATCGATAGCCATCATATCTTCTAAAACCATGGAATTCCTCGGGAGGAAAAAAAATAGATAATTTGAGTAACTGCGGCCGCATTTTTCCCGATGCAATGTTTTCGTTTATCAAGTGAATAAGCAGTTATTCAGTCAATCTTCGACACAGTTAAAGAATTGTGTTGGTAGAATTTACGTCTGCAAAAACAATATTTTACTTGAAAAAAATTAGTTCCGGGAAACTTAATCTCAGCAGCCTGCAAAAATGCTTCCATCTGTTAATTCAAGAAATTCATGGGAATCTAATCGCATTGTTCCAGCTTTGAAATGTTTGTGTGATTATGGCTTTCTACGCCTTCCGTATTGCTAGTAATTTTTTCATATTGCTCAATATTATCTTTAATTCATCTTTGTAACTCTCTTTATATATATAATCCTGATATAAGAAATCCTTACGATTACGATGTTCACAGTAAGTTCATTTCATAATCTTCTAATTGTCGTTGTTTTGTTTCAAGCATAAATTGAAAGTGTATGCATAAAATTTATCACAGTGACTACATACGACTCAACAATCGTCCAAATATTGGCAATTTTCACTGAAAAAGAATTTAATTAACAGTAAAGTATGTAAATTTTTTACCCACAAAGTCTTTAACGTCACATTCCACTTAGATCAAATAGTAAGTGCGACCCAAACTTAATACTCAGGTAATTAGACTTGGAGATAAGTTCCTTTTTCTTCTCGTTATTTCTAATAATTTGCATTCTGTACGAAATTGTCACAGGCAATTCCAGATTGCACACTTTTTAGTTCTGAAGTTCCAATCAGTGCACTGAATTAATATGAATTCCCAGAGTATCTGTGCACGGACCTTCCTGGAACACATCGCAGAGCAGGCAGTACTGATTGATTTCAATAGTTCCATTTGTATTCGTCCATTTCGTAGAAATTTTATGAATTCCAAGGTTTCTGTTTTTTAAAATCTTTTTTCAGCCTAATATTTGGCAAACTCTAAACCTTTTAATGTATGGTCGATTGTGAGACCCATTAGAATTGTACGTTTCCAAATAATTAGTAGAGCTCTGAAGCAAATTTGTCGTCCATTTTGGTAACATATATATCCAAGCTGTTACGATAACACCATTATGATCCATTTCAACCTGATCATTTATATCATCTTTATGGAAATCATTACATATGAGATGTCCGAAGGATACGTCAAATAATGGAGAAGGGGAACCTTTTCTAATTGTCTGCAGTAGAAAGTTGGATGTCCTTCGAATTCATCAAGTGCTTCCAATTTTTGCTCATCAACTTTGTACAATTCACCATTTACACGCTGCAATATGCTTTCTTTTTCGGTTATTTGACAACCATTAGAAAGGCTTGAGCCAAAGGTAACAAATATAGGAAGTATTGATAGCCTGAAACCTGATATGAACTTCGGAAATGTAAGGATCCGAGAAAAATTTAGGAAGCATTGATCATTATTATTCAGTTTATCTTGTTCTCTACTATGGCTGTTCTATATCACTATAACTATAACGCCTTCTCTGTTTGTACCACTCTAAGAATTTAATTCATTTTTATCTGGTTTTAAGAATGTAATCCATTTCCATCTTCAGCAAATTTTCCTTTACCTAAAATTGACCCAATTCAATTCAATCCAATTTCCTCTATTCAGGTTATAATAACCAAGTGAGTGAAACTTACATTCCCAATTCCAGATTTGTTCAAACAAAATGGTATATTATATTCAGAAGCGATAATCAAAGGATATGCATTGACAGTTTTACCAGTTCCTACAAATTTTTGCATTCCGGTTACCGGATCTGCCATAACTGATGCATTCGGCTCTCCACGTTTCAGTGTTCCATAAACAAATACCAAAGCCATCCGAGCTATTTTTGCTTTTGTACCCATTTGACATCTAAATTTAGAAATAATGCAACAGTTCCAAAGTATCCTTTTTTAATGGATGAGGAAAAAAACTACAGTTGGCTTACGAAATTATGATTAATAACTTTTGAAATGATATAATTTAACGAATCTGAGAAAAAAAACTGTATATCTAATAGAAGTTTCTCACTCTCTCTCTCTCTTTATCTCTCCCCTCTCTTTCTCGGACGAGAAATTAATTCAAAAATTAAAATCTTGTAGTCAGCCAATATCTTTCATTACCATTTAAAAAAAGCAATAAATACTGATCAATCAAAAAATTCAAAAGTTGTTCTGAAATTGACAGAAAATTTTAAAAGTTCAAGATTTTGAAATTGGAAAATTTTCGGACTATTTGCTTACCAGAAATTGATCAACCAACATTAACAACAGTATAAGCTATTAAATATCTCATCTAACATTTCTTCATACATCAGCGCTCCAAAAATAATAGCAATAAAACAAATTCGAGAAAGCAAAGAAAAAGGAAAAAAAGATAAGTTAATGCTGGAAGAGAGAGAGAGGAAGAAGGAGGAGGAGAGATAGAAGAAATCATATGGTAAACATACAAAGCAAGTGGCGAAAACGAAAAATGTCTTCTTTTGGCGAGTAGCCGCTGGGAACAGGTGATGGTCATCATCTATGATGTCATTAGATCAATTATGATCTTTCATCGGTCATTCTTGTGATATTTCTTATGTACTTTAAAGTCCAGTTTTTTCATCTTTTTTTCTTTTGATATTGATTTTTCTTAACTATTTTTTGTCATTTTCTTAATACATTAAATTTTCTTTCGCAAAAAAAATTTTCCTTAAGAAATTAGAAATTTGAAATTAAAAATAGATTTAATGAATTAAAATAAAATATTAGATTTTAACTATTAAACAAATTAAAATTAATTATATAAGTAAGTTGATATTATTATATGTAATATTCTAAGGATCAGAAACAGATCAAGCTTAGAGCGATCATCAGCATAAATACAGCGAGTGATATGATTGTATGCTTCCTGGTTAGTATATCTATTTAGAAAATGAAAAATTATTTGATTTAATTTTTTGATTTTTTTCTTCAAATTTAATCAATAATCGAAATGTCAAAATCTTTCAGAGATTGATCAGAATGAACGACAAGCTTAATCATATTTTCATCAATAACCTTATTTATTATTCGTAATTCATCAAATAACGAAAGGAATGAGATTTCTTTTATCCGGGTTTGAATGAAATAATTATATGTATATTATGAAATATAAAGCTGAAAAATACATATGTCTTTTTTCCTTTAGTTCACAGGAAATAGTCATTTATACGTTAGGAACACTTGTAACTTTATCCATTATAAAGTATAAAGTACATTATATATAAGTTTTTGTTTTGTTTATTGTGAATGTTTTTGATTGCACAAGATTCAATTGATCATTTGATGATTTACCGTTATCAAATGTGCATATGAAAAGATTAACGGTAGGATTAAAATATTATTCATTAGAGAATTAATAATTACCAATGCTAAAATTATATAATTATTTGGCGTGATGGGAATATTCTATTTCCAGATATGAGAGATGATGATCCAGGTAAACGTCCGCCATCTCAAGTGAAGCATCTATCATCCGAGGTGAAGTATTCGTCACCTCAGGTGAAGTCTGAAATTATTGCTCAACATATCCTCAAGAAACTACTGACGAAACGCTCCTTCCAAAAGTACCTTATTGATATCACGGTAAAGGAAGTATTAGATAATGAAGGATCATCTGATGCTGCTATTAAGGGACAACATTTTATCATACGAAATCTGGAATTTGAATCACCAACAAGTTGTCGGCGTGCGGTTATCCACGGAAATATCGATTTATTGATATGCCATCTGAAGCTTATCACGGAATCGTTCATTAAAAGCTGTAAGTGAACATTGTGGTACCAACTGTTATGTTTAAAGAGTAAAAAGTTATGCTTTAATGATCAAAATTGGAATCTCTATGATTATTTATTGCTGTTCGTATAAGATTACAAAATTAAAAAATGTATTAACGAAAAGAATCTATAGCTTAGTAAATGATTAGTTTAGTAAAACTTCTGCCTAGCCGTAGATATGAACGAAAAACTATATCTTCTAAACACTATCATTCGTTGGTCATCAAAGTAGTTTTGTCCAAACATATTCGCGTTTTTTGGTAAAGAAATAAAACAAAACTTAAGTGAGGAGGGAAATGCATGGAACACGTAATTAGGAAATGTGAACTGCATACTATAACGGATTATTGTCATCATGTTTTAGCAAATCTTGCATTCTGTGATATTGGTGCTAATATAAATCGTGATGCTGCTTCATTATTTTCTGTTCGATTACAACTAGAACAGTTTCTGAATTCAGATCGCTTTCAACTGCTACGTTTTGAACAATTTATTAGACGCCTTTACACATTGCTGCGTTGTTTTGCTGCCAGAATTTCAACGTTAGTTATTTCTACTTAGTGTTGCATTAGTCAGTATTTATTTTCATCATGTTGCAAATCTCTAAACTTTTTGTCGTCATCTTTAAAGTTGTCATTTCTAAACTTTTAATAAAGATTAAAATAGTAATTAGTAGTTATCACTTTTGCATTAAGATTATCGGTAATGATTGACATGCTACAGAAAGCAGAGCAAATTATACTTTGTATAAGCGAAATGGTGATGATAATGACGACCGATGATAATAATGATGATGATGGTGAAGATGGAAAAATCCAGTCAATTTCACTGTTGGAAGCAATTTCAAAAATCTGCTCATATTATCAACGATATTGTTTTGATTAAGATGAATCAAATAATCGAAATTTTTCCTGAAAATCGAATTTAAAATGTTTAGACTTTTAGCCCATTTCAAATTGCCAATTGTGCATTCTTCGCTATCTGCCTTTGCGACTTATTATATCGTTTCGAAGAATTTTGCTCCATACATGAAAAGAATTTCACGTCAAAATTTGAACAGCTTCAAAAGACCATCAATATGTTTCATGACGTTGTCGTACGGCGTTTAAATGAGGTTTTGCTTGATAGATTTAATAGTTCTTAATCCTGCAATTTTTTGTTTTTCTACAATCACCAAGGATAATATATATTATTAGTCTTATTCATCATCCATAGATCACTTAAAACAACAGTAACTTGAAGTCATTCATAATCTACATAATATATCCTTAATCATACTGTTTTGTTTAAATTTCAATAGCTTAGTGATAGTTTCTATGAGGTTCATGGAGAAAAAATTTAAAAAAAAAAGAAGCAACAGAATATTTTGGCTTTAAGTGAATCGTATATTTTATTATACCTGTGAATTCTGCATGGGCATGATTCACTTTGCTTTTAGTGATGAGATCTTTAACTTTATAATATTCATCATTTATAATAAAAAATCTTTAACTTTATAATATTCATGTTTTTTTTCATTTATAGATGATCGCAACAAGAATTAAACAGGACAAAATAATGAAGCGGAAAATTGCTGGAAGTAGTTCTTTACGGCGCACTCCACGTAGACCAAAATCTGCAGCAATCTTTCGTGAAGTTGAACAAGAGTTGCGTAGCCCAGGATATTTGTTACCTCATGACCTTCAAGTAAGTCATTCATTAAAGTATAAAAATTGTCAGCAAAGTCATACCTTAATTTTTTTCCCAAACTACTTCAATACCGTAGCATTAAGAAACTTCCCATTTATATTTTTTTTAGTTTTTTAATTATACCTGCCATGGAATAATTGGATTACATGATTATAAACCATATAATAATTCACTAGCTAATTTTAACCTTATCTTTTTAGGAGAAACGTCGATTGATGCAGTCACGTCGGGCTACAACGTCATTTTCACCTTCGAAGCAGAGATTCTCGAAACATATACCGCAAAAAATCATTGAAAAAGAAGCGATTCATCGGTGCATTACTTTTTTTATAATTAAATGATAGAAGTCTGGAACCCTTTACTCGAATTCTTTTTAAGTTCAACAAGTCAAGGGAAACAGAGAGACAAGGATCAAATAAGAAAATATATGAGAGAGATCAGAAAATTAGGAGTAAAGCAAAAAACAGAAGAGGATGGATGTTGCTTCTCTTCTGTTAGTACCAACAAACACCTGTTTGCTCCATTTTTAAATATTTCAACTCAACATTTTTGAACGTAAATGCTTCTCAGTGTAAATGCTAAATGTTTCTCAAAAATGTTGAATTGAAATATTTAAAAGATAGAGCAAACAGGTGTTAGTTGGACTAACAGAAGAGGAGCATCAGCAACTTGGCCTCCAATTTATTGTGGGATCCAAGGAGTGTTATTAAGCGAAATTTCCTATATTTTTCTGTTGATTCAAGACAACCGCATATTAAGAAATATGACATTTTTTTATTCAATTTCAAAATTTTTAACTTTTTAAATTTATTTTTTGTATTTTAGGAGTTAAATTTATCAGCTTTTTCGTAGGTTAGCTCGTGAAATCACCAATGAGATGATAAATGGTTTAGCGGCGCGTGTGGACGACGTGGTAATAATATCCAGATGAATGAATGCTAATTATATCGTTCAAAATCAACTCGTTCCGGAATTGAACGAGAAGATACCTTTTTTATCGCAAAACTCGAAATAATTTATAATGAGCATCTAAATATTAAAAATAATTTATTGTAGAAATGTCTCTCACCCAAATGATTCATCGCATAAATTGTAATTTGATGAATGTTGCAATATCTAGTATGAATCATTTGGCTAATTTCTCATGCCTTTTTTGATTACCATGCTTATCTTTATTGGTCAAATTACCGGGAACTAATTCTTATGTAAATGTCTCCGTCTGTGACCAGTGCTGTTTCAATTATTATGTTGTTATCAGATATTCCTTTGCAGAGCTTTTCATTTTTGTCCACATATTTATCCTTATATCCAATAGGATTTTATAGAATGCTTGTTGTAAACCATTTCTATTCTCTCTCTATATATGGTAGTATATAGAGTATATATTATCACCATATGTATATACACATATATGTATAATAATAATGGTCTCAAGCTCAGAATTTGAAGGTCGTAAGCTCGCATTCACCGTCCTCAATATTTCTGATACATTTGAATAATGTTGATCAATTATAACATCTCCCTCACTAAAGTAAAGTTCGATTCCAACTATATTCGTCTCTACAAACCACTCTAATCAGAACCACTTTTTTCACAACATTTTTTGATATTATAAACTTTCGTTTTTCATGAAAAAGAAGAAAAAGCAGCAGAAAAAGTTAACGTCTGAAAATCAGAACTAAAATAGAGTTTGTTTATTAAATTATTGATAAAGTTATTGTTAGAGACCATTATCATTCTACATATATGTGTATATACATATGACTATATGTATATACAGTATATACCATATATATGCAATATATACTCTATACACTACCATATATAGAGAAAGTAGAAATCTTGTAAGGGGTTTTCTGAATTTTGATTTTCTTGTGACAGTGATAGAATATATTTGCGTATGATGAAATTGTGTGTGATAAAATTTTCCATGGCATGATATTGCATTGCATAAAAATGAGCAACTACTTGAAATGAATAATGTTGAAATCTCGAATCATATATATATATAAAGAAATAGCATCCATAAGGCTAAAGTAGTATTGTTTTTATCTGTCAACTAATGAAAGTTACTAAAATTCTTAAAAATCGGTAATTGCTTAGATTTTTCGACGAATTACTACAAATGAGATATTGATGATGATGGTATTATAATATTAATAAAATGAGAGATTTAAGATAGGAAATTAGAAAATCCTGCAAGCTTATTGTGAATTATAAACTAATCTTATCATCGTAATTCTGTTTTTTTTTTTTTAAACACAATCTCATTTCAGTACAATGAACTCCAAACCAATTCATTATTAATTCATTATTAATTATTAATTCATTATTAATTCATTATTAATATTCATTATTAATTATTAATTCATTATTAATTCATTATTAATATTCATTATTAATTCATTATTAATTCATTATTCCAAACAATTCATTATTAATCAAAGTTCATAAGTCAAAAAATATGGATTAATATATCAAAGGAAGAGATAAATGAAAGAGTCAGAAAGAACATATTCGGTATGAATCCGTCTAGTATTGGAAGAAATAAGTAATACATGGTATATTACTTGAATCATGCAATACGAAAATGTGCTGGTCTGATTTGGTGTGACTCAAGGGCCTGGATTGTTGAGTATACGGAGTCTTATACTGGTCCGGTTCTTTCTCTCTAATACGGGTATCCTTGAATTGTATCATATACTCAACAAGTACTTGAACTTGAGGCTAGCGTGAGCGACCGCGATAATTTTTTCAATTTTTCCAAGGCATATATAGCTGCTGAAAAAATTGAAAACAAATTGATTAATTTTCAAATAATATTAATTGAATGAAATGAAATAGAGGAAAAAGTCGCGGTCCATGCGGTGGCATTGTCAATGCACTTTTAAATTGTACCCTTAATTAGTGAACCGTATTTAATATACGAAATTACTGCCATTACGATAATACCGAGGAACGTCAAATCAGATCAGCATATCAATTGCTCTATCGGTGATAGGTAATATCATAATCATTACTTATTGCTACCAATACTACTAGAATTTTTTTTAATACTTATCTCTCTATCTTCTCTTATAATTTTATGCAACTGTAAAATATTGTTAATTCTTATAATTGTATCATCTACAAATATAAGCTATCTGAAATTTCAATTAGAAAATTTTTGATAGCAATTTGATTAATATGTATATGGAAGAAGGTGCAGAAAAAATTTAGATTATGCTCATTTTAATTCAATTCAACTTAAATATGCAAATAGTGAAGATCCGATAAGCACAAAACTATATTGCTTAGTAATAGTAATAGTATATATTAGTATCTGAGCCAAAATGTTGAGACCGATCAAGATTATATTTGAGCCAAAATGTTGAGACCGATCAATATACTTTAATAAAACTCGGAAAAAGTTCTAGCAAAAAGATGTCCCACTTATTTTACAAAAATAAAATCATAAATAATTATTATAAAAAAATTGATGAATTTGCAAAGATATTTTAATAAGTGCTTTGACATATTACTATCATATTAAATTGCCAAATATAATAATCTATTTAAATTATATTTTAGAATTTAAAATTTCTCTCGTTTTACAGAATGTAATTTAAACAGTTTATCATTAAACATTATGAAATGCCGTATTATTAAGTATGGCATCATTGTTTATTATTTGCTTCTGAAGAGAATGCTAACAAGAAGTTTAAAATTGTTGCCACAATAATTAATTAATACTTCTTCATATGCCTATTACGGTTACAAATTTAATTTTGCAATATACTCTCAATATAAATTTCAAAGAAATGGAATGGAAAGGAAAGAAAGAAAGAATAATGAATAAGATGAGATGATGAAAAATTGAAAGTTCAGTTTTTCAAATATTTAAATTAAATTTTTAGCATTGATAATTATAAACTTATAAGTGATTGGTGATTATTTTGTTATAATTTTTCTAAAAAGAGAAAGAAGAAGAAAAGAGTATATTAAAGAAGGAGAAGCAAAAGAGTTCAGGTAAGTATGAATAATTTAAAAAGTTGAAAATTTTTTCTATCTTTTACATCTATTGCAATTTTGCATATCTAAAAAAGAAAACTTGACAGTATCAAATAAAATTTAGAAATAATTCATGCTATTTATAATGTTTATGCTGTTTATATATACATCATTATAAATTATTTATGTCGTATATAATACGGCAAAATTTATGGTCGAAAAAACATAGAATCCGGTTGTTTGGTTAATTCCCGTAATCGATAGCTAATAAAGCAAGAATGACCCTGATCACCGATCAGTGATGCTTTTTGAATAAGGCTTGGATTTGTTTGCCATTCAAATGGTATATTTTGATTAAGCTGAAAAATATAAGGTTTAAAATAATTTTAAAAAAAATAAGATAAAATTAAGTTCTTTCCTTTTTTAAAATTAACATCCAATTTATTATGTATTTCAATATCACAGATTTATTGGAAAGAATAAATTCAATCAAAAATTATATATATATTATCATTAGGAAAGCAATCCAGGGATGCAGTTATCAAATGATATGATAAAACAATTTAGCATACATAAGAGTAAGTAAGTTATTTCATCTACAAAGTAAGTGTAAGTAAGTAAGTAAGTTATTTCGAAGCAACAGAAAATTACTCAAGTTTTTGCCTCAATAAATGAATTTCTACATAATGAGCTTAAATTTGATGGCTAAGTAATGAAAGTTCAGAAGATTAGTTATGATAATTTTGGGAGATTAAATGATATATATTCCAACTCCGAATGCTTGATAACTTCCTTTTGTTTTCATTAAATTTAAATTTATTAATTGGAAATTAAATTATTGAAATGAAAATCGAAGCAAAAATCTAATAGTTAAGGTAAAAAATTGAGTAAAAGTTAAATAGAAAAAAATAAATAAAAGTTTTTCTACGTATCCTGAATCTGAATTGTCATATTTTCCACTTTTAATTTTTAATCATTTTAAAAATTAAAAGTAGAAAATTTAAAATAACTTTTTTTACATAATCAGATGTTTACCTTTAATCTAATAAAAATATTATTGATCAATTTACGAAATGTTCGATAATCCGGTCGTTCGAAATATCTACAAATTGCAAAATTTAAATACTAACATTCACAAAGGCAAAATCGAAATTGCAAGATCGAAGAAGAAAATATCACTTTTACTTCTCAATTAACCCCACTTAATTTGAATTAATTAATCGATTAATTTCATCTATATATACTATATTGTCATTGCAGTTTCATTAGTATATAGTATTTACTTGCACAGTTTCATCAGTTTATAAGTGGTATGACATGCATTCATTCTCGACTACACTAAATAGTAATGATTAGTGAATAACCTAATTATTGATAGTCAACTTTTTATCTTTTTGATTAATTAGATAAGACATTGCAATATTTACTTTATATTATCAATCATTTCCAGTATTTTATCAAATTCTTCTGGTACGCCTTTAAGTAACTCATATCGTCCACTAAATCTTGCATAACGCTTCCATTCACCAATTAACAAATAATCTTCTCGAACATCTGCATTTGCCCATGGGAGTGGACCTAAACAATTTCTTAAGAAATTGAATTATCGACCTTCGTTATCACATTTTTAATACATTGATATGAAAGGAAATTATTTGATGAAATTGAACATATCAAAAAGATGAATGATGAAGTGTTATAAAGATGCGTGAACTAAATGAGTTCAATTGGACACTTACGTAAACTTAGTACCATTGAAATTAACAGGAAAAATGACCCAGCTATGGGATAATAAGCATATACTTTATCATTCTGCTAGATAAAAGAGTGACACGTGGATTCTACTACTATTCACGTAGTGAAAACAAAAATGAATAACATGTGGAAATAAAATATTGCTTTACCTTTAATAAATTCACAAACCATATAAAACCATGATTCAATATCATCCCTTCTGCATTGATCCTTGAATGCATGAGTTGCTAACGATGAATAATAAATGGATCCTATGAGAGCTGCTGAACTTCTTGGTTGATAAAATTTGCCATCTTTGTCTCTTTAATTACACTTAATAAATTATTAATTAATCTAATTGCTAGATCTGCAATTAATTTTAAATCGTTATAAAATTTTACAGGAATTTCCAACATTCTTTTTTGTTTTTTTTTTTACTCAAATAATGCCGAATTAATTTAACTGAACTTTTCTTGTTTATATGATAATATTTCTACAAAAGAAGTAACTTGAGAAATGTCTGCTATACCTAACATATTATATTTTCATGTGATACATAAAATGATAACCATCTGCTCACTTCCTATCGCACCTACCTAAATCGTCGAGCGAATCCAAAATCGAGAATGTAAACTGTTTTACTATCATCTTTCAAACCAATCGCAAAATTGTTTGCTTTGATATCACGTGAAAGCCAACCCGTATCATGTAATGTTTCAATTCGATCCAATGTTTGTATGCCAAGGTGAAGTGCCGTTGTTAAAGTAAATCTAAATTTCATAATTTAATTGCAATTTTCAATTTTTCAAATCAACTTCATAATTTGATTTTAATCATGATTTTTTTTTTAAAGAAAAAGAAGTATTACTTTTTGCCCGGTAGGCAACGACGTAATTTATCCAAATCTGGACCAAGCAATTGCATGATAACGTATTTAATTTCATTTGTACATCCCTGAGTAATTAATTGTGGGATACCAATTGTTTTCGTTTTTTGAAATTCACGTAATACAAAAACATCTAATTTTAGTACTGACCTGAAAAATTTTTTCCATATTAATTTATGCCACATTCCCAATAATTAGTTATTTACTTGATATTGCAAAAATTTGACTTTTATTCTTACTCGTTAATTATTGAACTCAGTGTTTATTGTTCATTTTCATAAATTGTAATGTATTACTCAGCTTGAACTTTGAACTTTGTATAGTTTTGTTATTTATCTCATAATGTTTACCTATCAATCTCCTTTCCGGTTACTGACTCCAAAAATAGATGAGACTAATTAAATTTTAACAATAAATGACTAATTTCTTACTAATTAGACATATTTCAATCTTTTTTGTTGCATTTATAGCATTCTACTGAAACTCTTCGATCGCAATATATTATTAGAAATGAGTTAAAATTTTTGTTTTTGTTTTATTTTTTAAATCTTTTTTTTTGTCAAAACAAATTATTATAAATACCTTTGTGGATCTTTTGTTTTTTCAATTTTCATTGCAAACTGTCCATTACCATTACCATTACTGTCAACTTTTTCAACAACCATCACTTCACTAAATGGCCCTAGCCAAATTTGCTTTAATATTTTGTACTTTCTACCTCGATGGGCAAAAGTTTGACCTGGTCGTAGGATTGATGGCGAATTATCTGACTCTTCTCTCATATCAATTTCGCGAGCGACCACTTCATCAGAAAATTTCTATTTAATTCAGTTTTTTATTTTTTAATTTTAGTCGAAGAATGTAATTGTTTCAAATTTCGTACTTCAAATTAAGCTAATATCACCTTTGCCAGTAAAAATTGACAGACTGATTGTTTCAATCAATGATTATTTGTAATCAAACAATCTAATTAATTAGAAAGAAATTTGAAAAAAGTCAAATCACTTTGTCTATTTTCGATTCAATTTTTAGTTTTAAATAGCATTTCTATTTCTTTTTAAATGATTTCACAAAAGAAGAGAAATAATTCTCATAATTTATTGCGCAATATAATCTCTCAGCCAACTTTTTAAATTTTCAAAATGAATAAGCAATTAACTTTATGATAAAAGTATTGTTTCAAAGTAAACAGTGGCAAAGTTAAAACAATCGTACCACCCGCAATCAATACGTTTTTCAGGAATGCTATTAAATCAAAAATGAAAAGCTTTAAAAACTTTTTAATGAAAAGAAAAAGAAATCAAATATTTTGGAAATTATTGGAATAGAATAAAAAGCTTATTATTCATTTCATCGATATTACGAAATATCATTTTTGTAAATGAAGTATATAAGATGAGGAAAGAGTAAGTAAGTATTAATTACTGTTAATTAGTAATGATTTATAGAGTTATCATTTTTTTATCTGTGCAACTTGTTTCGGTATTTAGTTTCAGTGTAGTTTCTTCTAATCGAATATAATAAAAAGCGTAGCATTGTAATTCATAAATGATTAGAAATCTGTATTCGATTTCCAATTAATCAATCAGTTGATTGCTTTGTTTTTCTTATCCAAATTTTTTGCTTATCAAAAAGAATAAATTTTCATAATTAAATTAATTAATGAAAATCTTTGGATCAAATTCACTCCAATATTAACAAAAAGTTTAAAATGAAATGCGAAAATTTTGAATGATTAATGAATAAATAGTATAAGAGAAATTTGAAATAAAATTTTCTCTTTTTTAAAGATTGATTTATAACAGACAGATGGTGGTAAAGTGAAAATGACTAAGAGAAATTTAAAAAAGAAAGATTCTTAATTTAACCAACAAAAGTTGTCCTGAAACATTCGGTTAGTGTAAACTGATTGAAACTCTCAACGATTGTCGTCCTTTATATTATCCATCCATCCATCCATTTATCCTTCCACCCACTAATTCTTTGAACTACGGATACAGATGAATGAAAAAAATTTTAAATGAACCAAATCTATTCTTCACTTCTAACTTTCTATTTTATAAGTGTAGCAACAAAAAATGTCTCCGAGTGTTATTTTATTTCTTATCATTCAAATTGTTGTTTCCACGTTGGATGGTTCCGGTAACGATGCTCACGTGGTACGTTACTTACTTTTACTTTCACGTCCTTCATCATTTTATATGTTCTTTCAAGTATGATATAGTATATAGGTTACTTTCACATTCATATTGTTACTTCAGTTTTTTTTATTCTATATGTTTACATTTAGGTATCATTTCATCTCTAAAGTTTAAAAATTAAAATAAATTCATTTGTTCTTCCAAAAAGCTATTTTCTTTCTAATAATTGAGTTCGTCTGAATTGCTTATTGTCAATTTTTCTTTTGGTACTTTCAACGCAATGAAATTTGTGATATTATATGGCGAAGACTATATCTCATCGAATAATTAAATATTGCAATAAACAAATAACTGTTAGAAAGAAAATTCCCGGATTTTTTCCTAGTTACCTTTTCAAATAATTAAAATGACATCATTCTAATTAGCAATGTGAAAGCATAAAATTGTTTAAATTTTTCGAGAGAAGATGATTTAAATGAAATGGCTGGAAAGTCTTATGAAATCGCTTATCGGAACTCATTTACAACCGTAATTGATTTATAGCAAAAGAATAACCGTGATAGGATTATCAAATATCACTTATTAATAATGCTTAAATTCGATTCTTTTATTTAAAGATAAACTTTTTTGTGTTTTTTTCATTTTACGATTTGAAATTTTATATTGGAGGAATTTGATGAGTTACCGAGAAATCCGATCACTACCGATACAATCAATAATTTGCTGAGACCATTCGCACACAAACATTTTAATATGACATTCCAGGTATATTTCGTTCAAAATTAATAAAAAATGAATAATTTGGCAAAGGTCAAAGGTGAAAAATATGCATTTTATATTTCTTTTTGTAACTTTGGATAAATCTTAACTAATTTTTTTACTTCCGTTAAACAACAATGCCGGCTGGCCTGTAAAAAAGCCCTTAAAATGCTAATTTTTCTCTCACAACTTTAAATATTGAAAAGGCATTTTGTATTCTTTTAATTTATTAAACATTTCAATTATATGTATCAAAATTTGAAAATTTTCCAGCTTGAAATTATGCGAGCTCTCGAAGCATTAAGCCGTGGTCGTTTAGAAATGACAATTTGGTCACATGAATATTGGGAAATTCCGAATCTTTCTGTAGCTACCAAATTATTGCACTATAAAAATTCGTTAAAACTACATTTGAATTCTCGATCAGATTTGAAATTTTTACCAGAAATGATTTTCAAAAATGCTCTCTACTTCAAGGAACATCGGACACCATTGTTGAATACTATTTTAGAAATTAATAATCATGGTGATATAGCATTGCATTCGTTATATACGTTGGATATTCCATGTACCACAATTATTCCAACCAAATCAGTAATTATTATTCATAAAATTTTGTTATTAAGTAAAAATGTTTAGCAATTTTTAAACAAAATTAAAAAGATAGTTAGTTATAGTTATGTTTAGTTATATTTTAATTATATATGTTTAGTTTAGTTATATTATATTTGCTTAAGATTTCATTGTTTAATTTTAATGACACTATTAAAGTTTCTTTCTTCTGTTAAAATTTTTAATTTTTAGAAATGCATTAAATATGAATTATGTGGTATAGAAATAACGGAAAATCAATATCACAATAATATTGATGCGATATGTGAGTTTCATTACGGTAGCCTAATCCGTGATAATACAGAAATAGGTTTGAATTGGGCATCGAACAATGTTCACGAATCAAATTTGCCATGTTCTATCCAATTTATGCCACATTGTGTTATCAAAAAAATTCGATTATCTAAAAAGGAAATTGTACGTTTCATCTTTTTTATTATATTTAATTTTATTTTAATTAAAATTATTGCAACTTATTTGAAAGAAATATTATTCCAAACATAATTAATAGTATTAGCAGCGATATTGTATTTGAATATTAACTTTACGCTTTTTCTTAAATTTAAAACTTTATTGTTTTATTTCCAATTCATGATGATACGTGTTGATTAAGATACATTTTCATATTAAACAATTAATTTTAATCAATTAAATTATATTGTTTTCAGATTTTTATAAGTTCATCGAATTTCATACATTTAAATTGAATTATACTTTATCTTCCTTTTCATATTTTTTTCTTTTATTTCAGACATTTCTTGGAGAGAAATACGACGAATTAATTGCATGTTTTGTTTTAAGCTTTCCGACCAAAGATTATGCAATAAGTTGAAGAGAGGAAAACGAAAGAGAATTGAAATATTTGTTGCTTTTATTATTATTATTGCTATTATTGTTGTTGTTGTTGTTGTTTGTTTGTTTGTTTCTATTGATAAGGAAACACGTCATTGGATATGTTTTATTTATTAAAGTAAACAAAAGCAAGAGTTTTTTTATTACAGAGAATCTGGTCGTTTACACAAGCAACCGCAGAATTTTAAATTAAATTTGAATTAAAAATGACTAAATTTTTGTCGTCAAATAATTTGATGGGATAATTTAAGTATTAATTAATTTACTAGAACAATATATGAAGTCTTTTTTCAAATTTTTTCATCATAACTCTCTGAAAGTTAAATTAAAAATTCCATTATCTGATACAATGGACATATTAATATTGCTTTCTATAAGGTATATTAGTTTATAAATTTACAATTAAATTTGGCTCAAAAAATTTGACGTACGTCTGTATATATATATGTATGTATGTAATTGTATTGTAAAATGTATAATGTGAAACTGTCAAAAAGACATTAACATGTTATTAACATAATTAATTTTTGCAACAATTAACAAATTCTTATTAATTGTTAGATAATAATTAAAATTGTAAATTATTTGATTGTTTAATATTTTTGGTATAAATACTAATTTTTGTAAAGTTTACAGAAGAATTGAAATAATAAGAATGGGGAAATAAATAGAAATGATTGCTTAGTTGACAGACAGAATGAATGAAAGAAACTTTTTTAAATAAACTATTGCCACCCTAAAAAACTAAAAGCAATAAAAAGTAGCGAATGTTGAGAGTTCAGAAAAATTTTCGATTTATTTTATTTACAATTAAATAATCGAAAAAATGCCTGCAAAACAAATACTTATTTTCATTTGTTTAAAACAATTATAGCATTCAATTAATCATTAATAAATTAGTCAGAAACTGTAAAATTAAGAGACTGTGAAATTTGATTTAAAAAATTAAACGAAAAAGGAAAGGTCAACAAAGTAATTAATAATATATAGGTGGCATTACTTTCAATGAAGTGGCAACATCATTTTTCCTATTTTTCAATTTTTGAATTTCACAGAGCTTTTGCTATTTCAGTTATGAATTGATCAGTTCACATTAATCTTTTTCAAGCTGTCAGTTATTAAAATTAATTGATTCATCTATAAAAGTTATCAATTTATACATTTTTTTAAACAAGCAATTATCACAATCAATTGATTTACCTTCATATTTACCAACTCCTATATCTTTTCTTAATTATTATTATGCAGTTAATTAATTAATTTGCTAAAATGATAAAGAATCATTTTTTCAATATTTGGTTCTAATTGAAAATTTTGAAACAATAATAGTTTTCGAAATTCGAAACTTAGTATTGTTTCAAATTGCGATAAATTTTAAACTAGTTGTAATCATAATTGTAATCATAATTGTAATTGTAATCATAACTAGTTGTAATCATAATTGTAATCATAATATTATTGTAATTAATTTATTTTCTTTTTCGTCCCATTTTTGTTTTTTATAAATGAATTATTAATTATTGTTTAGTTTTCATTTTAAATAAACAAAGGAAATAATGTCAGGCAAAAAAGAGAAATACAAATAATTTCCCTTTTTTTTTAATTCAAAGTAGTTTATAAATTAGTGATAATAATTTTATTCGACTTCGCAAATTGGTAATTCAACAAAATTTCCAACGAAAAATAAAGCTTCTAAAATAGGAAACTTATTGCTTATTATACTTATTTATCATCTGACAGAATTCATACGATCATTTAGTACTTATTTGAAGAGATAAGAGATAAGATAATAAAGTTCTATAAACAAAATCCTTATAATTTTATCATCTGACAGGACTCATAAGATCATTTATTATTGATCTGAAGAGATAAGAGATAAGATGATAAAGCTCTATAAACAAAATCCTTATAATTTAATCAATAAAAAAATTATCATTTTGACATATCATCTTTTCTTATTTCACACAGTAACAAACAAATCGTTTCTTTTTTCGACAATTATGACATATGCCAAAAATTGTACAATGATAACAGTAGTTATCATCTTATCATAATGAATAACGAAAGACAAAGTTCTAATGCATTTCTCTTAATACTATTATTAACCACTGATACTATGAAAAAAAGATATTACGAGAGATAATTTAATTACAACCTTTTTCTTTAACATATGTTAATAAGTTATTGTAAAAATAAATTTCCAACCATTAATAATAGTATACAAAAAAATTTGCAATCAAATTATCAAACTTTGACTCAAATTTATACTTTCTTTAAGAAATGATTAGTTTGAAATAATAGAAATTAATTAATTTTAGTCTGAATTTGTAATAATTAGTTTGAAATAATAGAAAAGAATTACTTAGTCCCTATTATTATATGCAATATTTCATGTGAAATACAACAATATACATTAATAATTTTTGTTTATTTGGAAAAGTAATCTCTCAATGCTTATCATTGCACCGATGATGATCGTTTTAACGTCATTATTGTCATTATCATATCAAATTACCACACTTTTTCCATTCGATCAATATTACTATGAGAGAGATATGATCCACCCATTTATCATTTTTCCATCGCTTTCCATCACTTATAATATTTTAATATACAAATTATTTTATGCTAAGTTAACGATAACAAATTTGAATTATTGCTGATACGGTACGATACAGTATCTACCAAAGACAGTATCAAAGGTCGTTTTCTTCATTTTGCTTATTGTTTGATCTAAAAATATCTGAATAATATCAAATTATATTCTATTCATTTTAATGATTATTTACACTGTATTATTTGCCTTTATACCATTTATTCGATCGCAACTTACCACCCAAGAATTAGAAGAGGAAAATGCTCAAGGTGTGTTTTATTCAATGTTTTTTTAAAAACTTTATTCAAATTATGGTCAGAATGACAAAGAATGATTTGAGTTGATCGTTTGAAATCTTAACTGACATCTGTTAGATTATTTTGATGAAAGATTTTGTTTTGAAAAGCTTCCAATTATCGTCCATTGTTTTAAAATTTTTTATGGCCATCAAATATTTCAAAAATTAGAAATTTTGAAAAAGGTAAATTTTTTCTTTAAAAATCGTTTCTAACGTTATCAAAATAATTCTTGAAGATGAATCCATAATATAAATAAAAATAATTATTAGCTGAAAATTAAAAAGCTTAAGTTAATTAGAATACAATTAATAGTTAAAAATGAAATTTAAAAATTTATTTCTAAAATTTCAACTGAAATTAGAAAGTTCATATCATGAAATTATTAGAAAAATCAGCAATTAAAATTAGAAAATGGAAATTTTTCTTAATTTTATGAAAAAATTTTGTCATTTTCGGTAATTTCTTTTGTAGCCCTCACATTGATTTCGTTTTCATTGAACTGATAGCTTATCATTTTAGAAATAGCTAATCGGACATATGTTGAGGAGCAGACTGAATTACAACGTACTATTCTCAGCAAATACAACAAACGTGTACGACCCGTGTTGAATATATCAGAACAGTTAGATGTTGCTGTTCACATATACATTATGCATGTATCCGTTAATCAGTTGGAACAGACGATTACACTTAATGGACATATATATATGGTTTGTTTCATAAATTATTGCCTAAACTAGTCAGTTCTTTTTTCTGACATTAAATTAAATCGATCAATCAATATTGTTATGTTTTAATATTGAGTATACAAGTCATAGCATATTATTATATATCTTATCGCACATTTTCAAATTAAAGACATGGAAAGATGAATATGCTGTTTGGGAGCCAAGTGAACATAATGGTGTTCGAATAACTATGGTCAAGCAGTGGGAGATTTGGACTCCGGAATTAAGAATTACAAATAGGTCAGAGATTTCGTTATTATTTAAAGAGGAAGAAGTTATAAAACATGCAAACTTCTCATTTCTAAGAATATACAAAAATTTCTAAAATTAAAATAACGAATAAGCAGGTATTCAAGTATTGCAAAGATGCGTAGAAAAATGATAAAAAAACGATAATTTTATGAAATTTAAAGTTCCAACAAAAATAACCAAATGATTTAGTGTGTCTGGTGTAGGACAATTTTTTGAAATTTCAAGACGATCTCATGTTATCATACATTCCAATGGAAATGCTGTAAGTATTTTTAAATTATTATTAAATTTCAGGGAAATTTCTTAGGCAGATACCTATTAAAATGTACCCCCATAAGTTATATTAGAGAAGTTAATGTGTTAATAATGATAGCAAAAACTTATACTTGTTAAAAGATCTTTCAATCTTTTCATATAATAACTATTTCTTATTTTGCATCTTTTCAAGGTGATCAAAAAATTGAAATTATGATTATGTTAATACTTTTGTAATTATGAATCTTTCATACCTGTCAAAATTACGAATATCATTCATTTATAATTTAAAATTTAATATCATTCATGTATTATGAATAATTATTATAAGATGTAAAAAAAGAAGTTTACTACCATTAAATGAATACAAAACATAATTAAACTTTTGTAAGTAAATACAGGTAATTAATTACTGTAAAAACAAATGAACCATTTAATTCATTAGGTAAAAATGGAAAATTTTATGAAAACTTACATTAAAAGTGAAATTTTAGTGGAGTCGAGTTGAAATTTATCCAACATTTTCTATAAAAATTGGTTGTAATTTTGATTATTCCGCATATCCGTTCGATACACAAATATGTGCCCTTGGAATTTATGCAACGAATCGAATGAGTGAAGTTCAACTTTCTGTTTATTACAATATGCAGCCTACAGTACTACTTGGTTTGTTTTATTAATTTAATTAATTCAGAAATAAATAAATTTTAAAATTTATCAAAAACTTTAATTTTATTCATCAATTAAAAATTTACAACAAATTTCATCACTAATCATTTCTTTATTTTCCTATTCTTTTTCTTAGTTTTACTTTCTTTTTATGTAATCTTTTAAAACATTCATATTTAGGTTGGGGTAATCAATCAATTAAAAAACATATCAGTGATTGGATGATCGATTCGGTAACAATGAATGTTAGTTATTTCAGTGGTGGTAATTACAAAGCTGAAAAACCAACTGATGCTGAAGAATTGGATGTTTCCTGGTTCGTTTCAAACACAAATTTTATAACCTAAAATTTTGCATACTGTATCCGAAATTTTGCCAAGAGAAGAGAAGTCAGTAATAAGTATAGAAATCAATTAGCAGAAAATATAATATTAAATAAAATTTAATATATCCGACTAAAATATCAGTTTATTTGTGCCGAGGCTAAATGCAGTGAGAATTTTCTTGCATTATTGGAGAATTTTAATTACATTGTATAGAATGAAGAAAATGATTTAATTTAGATTAATAATTTTCGAATTATCTGTCAACAAAAATATCTCGCTATTGTATAACCTAAATTAACATATTTATGTTTTCGATATTACGAAAAAAACTTTAGTACTGTTCGTAAATACTAACATTTTATTTTAGCTAAATGTATTTAATTGCTAAATGCTAACCCTTTAGTTTTAATCTCTCTTACTATTTAGTATTAATTAATGGATAGATATATTCTTATATCATTCTTTCAAATCTTAAATTAAAATTTTTAACTTTAAATTTAACATTTTTAATAACAAGCACTTCCATATAAATTCATTTAATACTTTTAGAACATAAGTGATATTCTTCAATTCTTCAGTTAAAAAAATTTTAAATGTTACTCTATTGTATATTATAAAGTTTTATTATCTCATTGATTAATTCCGATTAAATAATTTCATTTTCAGGTCTATCTTATATACATGGTTGACCTTACACCGGAATGCATCATACTTCACTTGGACATTACTGATACCAACATTGATATCATATATGTTTGTCATTTGTTCATTTCTTCTACCAGCGCCTGATTCCGCCATTTACATTTTACTTGCTAATTTACTTTTCCTCGGCGTATTTCTCGAAGATCTCACAATAATGATTCCACCAGCTATTGGAAAATTACCCGAAATTGGTAGTGCTTTTATTCTTAACTCTCAAATTGTACATTTAGAAGAAAAGAAAGTAATAAATAAAGAATGAATAAATTTCTTAAAAATGAAGAAAATAAAATCAAAAGTGTGAAAAATTAAATAAGTCAATAAGTAATAGGTTAATAAGCAATGAAATGGTAAACAAAAAATATAAAAGTGTTCAATTTAAATAAGTAAACAAAATTATAACAAATAGATGAACATATAATCAAATAGAAAAAGCATTAAATCAAAATTAAGGAATGACTAATTAATTATTAGAGGAATTTTTCATTGTTATTATTTATCATTTATTATTCAGAAATTAATTAAATTTAATTTCAGTTTCATTAGTCAGTCCTTTTTAAATATTTTTACAGGCAATTTAAAGCTTCTTTAGCAGTTCTTTCAGTCTATCATTTTCTATTTCATTAAAAATTCTACTTTGAATAATTTAAAAAAACAAATTTAGTGATTATATTAGAAATTTGAAATTACGAATTTAAATTAGCAACGATTTATTCTTCTTATTAGTTTGGTTTATTGGGATTAATTTGGTACTCACTATGGTGGCAATATTTTTACATCTATGGCTACGATATTTGCTAAAAAGAGAAGATACCGTAACAAAGTGGTACCTTCACATATTACACATCAAAAGGATTATTCCAAAACGGTGGCGTACAATGTTACTTGATAATGCTACCGGAAACGACGGAATCGAACAGAATGCTACCAGCACAGGTATTTCTGTATTAAAATAATTTTGTCGTTTTTTTTGCAACAGAGATAATATATGGATGCAAATATTTAAATAACAACAATTTCGGAAATTTTTGTTGAAATTTGGAATTTCAAAAATTTTGATTACTGCACAAACTTTAGCAGAATTTAAATATAATTTTATTCTTATCTAACTTAAGAGAGTAAAGTTTTTTCTTTATTTTCTATTTGTGCGATTATTAATTGAATATGAGATTATATGAAAATATGAACTCATTTCACTTTTAGCTAACATTAACATTTAACTGTTGGGAAAAATTTAATTGAAACAAATGATTGTTATAATTATTATTATAATTATAAATTTATGAATTGCCTTCTTCCAAATTATCATAGGAAAGCTAATTTCCTTAAATTATTTTAAATTTCATCAATTTTATTAAAATTTCTTTTTTCCTTAATTTGCGTTACGCGTTTACTGTAATCAATTTGTATTACTGTAATCAATTTATTTTACTGTAATCAATTTGTATTACTGTAATCAAATATGCATACTTTCATTGAAATTATCGCTGGAAGTCGTTTAATCGTGCAATTGAATTGCAGTTGAAATATTTCAAATTAAAAACAATTAAAATTATTTCAGGTAAACAAAGCGTTTTATGGACAACAATTGTGAATTATGCACGGATACTTTTACTGCTTATTTATTTTTCCATATTCATCATTGCACTTATCATTGTACTCGTTTAAAATGATAAATGAAGTGATAAGCATATTTTCATTATCAATCAGAAATTGTTACTGGAAGTTGTTTAATTGAACAATTGAATTGCAATTATTTTGAATTAAAAACACTTAAAATCATTTCAGGTAAACAAAGCATCTGTGAAACTTATCATTCTATATCTGTGAAACTTATCATTCGTGCATATTGTTTTCTACCATTGATAACTATAAATTTATTTTCTCTCCCTCTCTCTTTCTTTCAATCTTTCTCCTCTCCCCTCTTATTTTTCTTTTTTTCTCCCGAAAAAAATGAAAACAATAGTTTTTTGGATATACGAAAGTTTTTCATAAATACTTTGCTTTGACCTTTGACATAAGAGTATAATTTTAATATTGCTTATTCAATAATTCCTAATTCAATTGAAAATTATGTTTAATTATCTTCTAATACTGAAAATTTCCATAAAAAGGTAAAGATAAAAATAAAATTTACAGCAAATTACCTTTTCTTTTCATGCAAAATTTTAATTGTTTTAAGATTTAATGAAAGCAAAAACGAAGAAAATTCAACTGTTTATGAAATAAAAAATTATTATGATATTAAAATAAATTCAAATAAAGTTTCCTAACGATATTATCAAAAAAAATTGTTAATTCATTAGCAGCAAAAGCGCCCTTGTTATCGTTATCATCATTATCATTCTTTAAATGATTGCTAAGAGTAAAACTTTTATTTTTATCTTATTGTTTTATTCCATTTTTTTTCATAAATCATAAGCCAATCATATATTTTCAATCATATATTTTCTATATTTATTCCATTTTTTTGACGTAAAAATTGAAAAAGGAATTTATGATCGAATTTAATTTATCAGAAAATGTAATTATTTATTTTAATGCATAGCTCTCTCTCTTTTTTTGATATGATAAATTTACATTTTCTATAAGTAATTGAAGAAAAGCAATTGAATGGATGATATATAATTTAAGGTCTTATTATTTTAGAAAATTGAATTCGAATAATTGCCATGATACTTATATCATATATTGTCGTATTTTTCGACAATTTGATGTAATATCATCAATTTTAAATAATTTAATAATTCAATAATATTTAATGCACTGGAAGATAAGTTTAAAATGAATTCATATAATAAGTTCCTAATTCTTCATACTTTTCAACACTTTGATAACATCAACTTACAAAAACTTAAAAACTCAATAATACTGGAATTTAGAAAATAAAGTAGTATATTTAACAACCTATCATATATCTGTCTCTTTACTGAATCTGATCGATTCTTAACTATGCTAATGCAAAAATTTTTTGCAAAAATTCTTAACTATGCTAATAATAACTATTGCATTTTATGCTATAACTTTGTTATACAATTATTATTAACTTAGTGCACTGAGTTTATTTTATGTAAAAGTAATTAAAACGTCTAAACAAAATATTTTTAAATTTTATTTTATTCTTTTAATTTAGCCAAATATTTCTGAAATGAAAATAAAAAAGGATGAAAAAAATTTCAAAAATTTAGAAGAAAACAGAAATTTACGATGAAACGATTTAATTTATACTTTAAAAATATAAGAAATCGTTTATGGAATGAATGCCATCAATTTTCGACAACGTTGAATTCATTGCATACTTTCTCTTTACAATCCGATCGATATTCATTATCTTTGACAATATTTACTTCACGTACGTCAAATGATATGATAAAACATTTGCATAATGAATGATTACCAATAAAATCTGTATTGTAAAATCTTGAAGTAAGCCTAAAACATATTTCTATGCATAAATAAATAGCTTAATTAACAAATTTGATCGAATTAATTAAGCAATCCAAATTAGACATCAAATTTTAAGCTTATTCATATAATTATATCAATAACAAATGAAAATTGCATGTCTTTTGCGATTTTTAAATTTCTATGCTCCAACAATTCCGAAATGAAGAAGAAATCAATTTGTCATTTTCATTTTGTTCAACAAATTTCTTATATTCAAAATTATTTCATAAATGCAATAAATAAATGACAGCGTTTCAAAAAAAAAGATAATTGCTTGCATAGAATAACTGAAAATATTTACCAATGAAATAAGAAATAAAAATTAAACTGAATTGAAATTTATGTTGAAATAGTTGTGAACAAAATATTGACAAATTATTGGTTGCAATTATTTATCAATTGTTAAAGAATAACTTTAACTGATTCTATCATGATATTCTATATGATCCTGTAGTTATTGGTAGTATCATTAAGTATTATAATTTGCTATTTTGTAATAATTTTTTGATATTTATCTGATCGAAATATCATCTGACAATTTTTGATATGATATATAATGTGATCATGATAAATTTCTGATATTTAACATGATCTTGATAAACTTTTCTATGTTTTATCAGTTATGTAATTTGTGGTTTTGCTCCTTTTTCGCTTCAGTTATTTAGTTTTATTTCAATTAGTTATATTTATGTGCGATCAATGTGTCATAGCATTTGACATTTGTGGAATAGAATATATCGAACTAACAATAATATTTTAAATTTTTAAGTCTTATAAAGAAAATGGAAACCGGATTTGATAAAATTGACATTAGTTAATTTATAAAGAGTTTCTATCAATTAAGACTTTTCATATCAGTTAATTTATAAAAAATTTCTACTAACTTCATTTCACGCTTATTCCCAAACTACAGAAGAAAATTCATTGAGTTGCAAATGCTATTTAAATTATCACATCAATGTATTAACCATCAGATCTTTTCGAATTCCTATTTATATCATAATACGAGTAATTTGGTAATTCAGTAATTATATTATCCAGTTATTATTATATGTCTTTCGTATCTGGTAATATTATATGATTGCTATAATTTGAATACTATTACAAGTTTTCCTATTTTTTTTTACTCTTCTTCATCAATCAACTGGCACAAGTGATAAATGTCACATGTGATAAAGTATGATAAACTGGCACAAGTGATAAATGTCATATGTGATAAAGTATGATACGAATGACACTTTTGACATTTTAATTAAATCGCATTGATAAGTAAGAATAAATAAAGTAATTCCACTTGATATCATTCCATCAAACAGATAAAAGGATAATTGGGACACTTAGTGTCAGTAGAAATGATTGCTTGCAATCATTACAGTACTTCAACTGATAATTTAAAAGATAAGAAATCCTTTGGGATGAAGAAGAAAAATCTTCCTCCTCCACTCCTTTTCATTTCATTCAATTCTATTCCTCAGATGAGTTCACCTTTTCACTTTGTATAATATCAATTGCCAATTAATTAATAAATTCTTTCCATCGATAACTATTGCTAATAGAGAAGAATGATGAAAGGAAGTAAGTGAACAAAACGGAAAAATATCAAAGTGTACATGTTGACAGATTTTCATTCATTAAATAAAGGTATAATTGAAATTATTAACTTATATCAAAGTTAATTTAAATTATACAGAAATCTTTTTCTTTTTGCAAAGCACAATAGAGATAATGAAAAAATATTATTTGAAATATATCATATAAGTTTATTCGTAATTATAATAAATCATTAAAATAAAGATTTGAGGATAATTATAGCAA